ATGAAAATAATCATGCTATAATTTGACATATAGCTTACGTAATTCTGTGTGGCATAGTGGATAGAGGGCTAGCCATGGAATCAGGAAGACTTGGGTTCAAAGCCTTTCTCTAAAACGGACTAGCTAGATGACCATGGCCAAGTCATTTAAACAATGAGTGTCCCCACACAACTCTTTAAGACTATAGATTATGTGATCCAACCATTCTGGAGAACAATTTGGAACTATGCCCAAAGGGCTATAAAACTGTGCGTTCCCTTTGATCCAGCAATACAACTACTAGGTCTATATCTCAAAGAGATCATTAAAAATAAAAAAAGAAAAGGAACTACATGTACAAAAATATTGATAGCAGCTCTTTTTGTGGTTGCAAAGAATTGGGAATTAAAGAGAATGCCCATCAATTGGGGAATGGCTAAACAAGTTGTGGTATATGAATGGAATGGAATACTACTATTCCTTAAGAAATGATAAGCAGGCAGACTTCAGAAAAACCTGGAAAGACTTACGTGAACTGATGCTAAATGAAGTCAGCAGAACCAGGAACACATTGTACACAGTAACAGCAACACTGTGAAATAACCAACTTTGATAGACTTAGCTCTTCTCAGCAATGCACTGATTTAAGGTAATTGCAAAAGACTCATGACAGAAAATACTATCCACATCCAGAGAAAGAGTTATGGAGTCTGAATGCAGATGGAAACATTTTGTTTTGTTTTGTTTCTTCTTTCTCATGGTTTTTCCTTTTTGTTCTAATTCTTCTTTCACAACATGACTAATGTGGAAATATGTTTACTATGATTGTACATGTATAACCTGTATCAGACTGCATGTCGTCTTGGGGAAGAGGGAGGGGAGGGAGGAAAAAAAATTTAGAACTCAAAATCTTATAAAAGTGAATGTTGAAAACTAAAAATAAATTAATTCATTATTAAAAGAATATAGATTATGAAAGAGTTGCTGATCTACATTGGTAGAAGAATTTTCCTAAACACAGGTGAAATCATAGGTCCAAAATTTTTTTAAATGTTATACCTTGTTAAAGTTGGAAATCTAGAGGAGAGATTCCTTCCAGAATTAAGAGCCATAAATCTATGCATGACTGTTATATAGAGTTTATTTGTTTCTTCAATGCAGCTGGATTTACCTATCTCCCTATCTAACCCAGACTGGAAGTGCAGCAGCCACTCAATAGCCTGAAGGCCTGGTCACTCAGCTGACCAGAAGAGAAACTTTGACTTTTCCAACCTCGGCCAGTTCGCTGGCCACACTGGTGCTCCATCTCCCCTTAGTGTAGACACGTGATCAACTTTAGCCCTTTTACAGATCAGAACTTCCCAGCACATTGGTGGAAGACGCTTCCCAAACACAGATGAAACCAGCATCGGCATCCCCAGTAGCAGGGATTACAGGTGTGTGCCACCACCCCAGGTTTTCATAGAGTTGACTAAAGAGATCCTTAGGTCATGACTACAATTAAAAATTAAAGTGAAGTTGTCAGATTTGGGGGTGGGGGGCAGACCTGGAGTCAGGATGACCTAAGTTCGAATCCAGCCCCAGACACTTACTAGCTCTGTACCTCTAGCAAGTCACTTAACCAACCCTGTTTGTCTCAGTCTCCTCATCTATAAAATGAGCCAGAGAAGGAAATGAATGGCAAACCACTCCAGTATCTTTATCAAGAAAACCCCAAATGGGATGCAACTGAACCAACTGAACATCAGCAACAATGGAAAAGAGGTCATGGACTCATACTGTAAGGAAACATTAAAGTTTTTACTCCTTTCCTTCCAAAGAAAATTCTAGGGATGGTGAGATTGAAGGACAAGGCTGCTGACACCCATTGGGATAGCTTACTAGGTAGCTTAGATTTCCTTTTCTTATTGCTGATGAAGGGTTAAACAGCTCTGTTAAGAATGGAAGGCTTTTCATTCACATACATTTGAGTTTTTAAATGGCACTGGTACTTTTGGATATTTTTAAGTCATAGCCTCCTCATCCCTAACTGCAAACTGCACACATACACACACACACACACATGCACACACACACACACTACACAAAATGTCTCTGACAAGGCCTAGGTGATATTTACTTGGGAAAAAAAAATGTTCACCAACTTGGATAGTTCTTTGCAGTTAAAAGGGCTAGGCCACCAAGCAACTGTTATTTTCTCTATGCCAGGGATAAAGTCAAAATAACAGAGAATCAAGGAAAACTTAGCATTTTCCTATTGCCTGGAAACAACATTTTAAAAGTGGTTTATGTTTCCATCTTAACTTAACTTTACCACTCAAATTCAGGAATTTAACTCTTTTGCAATCCACTGCTCTTGAACATGGACAGGCTTCAAGACACAGTGAAGAATAGAAGGGCCTGACATGCTATAGTCTACGGGCATCACAAAGAGTTAAACATAACTGAACGACTGAACAACAAAACAAAAGCCGTTTTTGGCTGAATCTCCAATACTAACAACCCAAGAAAGGGAATTTCTGAGCAGGACCTCAAAATTTCCTTTACAATGAGGCATGTCCCTAAATAGTTACATCCTGAATAAACAAACTTCATGGACCAGAAAGGCAAGTACCTGAAAGTAAGAAAAAAACAGGAAAGAGGGCAAGCAAAGAGTAGTGAAACAAAATCAGAAGAACCCTGAGCTCATATCCTGCCTGCAGTAATTACTAGCTATTTGATTATGCACGTCACTTATCCTACGAGGCCCAATTTCTTCATCTGTAAAAGTGGGATAATTTTTTTAATGTGACTTCAAAAGTTTGCAGTAAAGCTCAGAAGGATCATATAAATTAAATTGTTCTGATCGAGGCGATATGGTACATGCAAAGAGCCCTGGATTTGGTGGCAAGAGAGCTGAATTCAAATTCTGTCTCTGTCATTTACTACTTGTGTGAACTTGAACAAACAACTTAATCTCGCTATCCTTCAGAGTCCTCAACTAGAAAAAGAGGGTGTCAGTCACTTAACCCCAATTGCCTCACCAAAAAAAAAAAAAGAAAGAAAAAGAGGGTGATGGATTCACTAGATGAGCTCTACAATCCTTTCCAGTTCTAAATGACCCTATAACCTAAAAAGACACTATGTAAATGTCATTGTTATTGGTGTTGTTGTTATTATTCAAATACAATCTCTTTGAAGGTAAAAACTAGTTCAGTTTTGTTTGTGTCCTCAGCACCTAGCACAGCGCCTGACACATGGTAGACATTTAATAATAGTATAGGGTTTTAAGATTTGCAAAGCACCATTAAAATATTCTCATTTTATCCTCACAACAACTATGGGGGGTAGGAGCTATAACAATCCCCATTTCACAGTTGAAGAAACTAAGATAGACAGAGATTAAGTGATTTGCCCAGGATCACACAGCTAATAAAGTCTGCGGTCACATTTGAACTCAGGACTTCCAGACTCTGGATCCAGAACTCTGTCCACTGAGCTGCCTTACTGAATTGAATTAAAATATAATCTTAGTTGAAATTGAAATATTATCTCAGAAATATCACCCCTGCTAAAATTGTCACCCTTTCTCACTTTCCTGGTCATTTTTCTCAGGACATCTTAAAGGTGGTAGGGATATACTTTGCATCCAAGATCCAGAGATAAGGACCAAAATTAGGAACATTGGCCAGGTAATACCTGATGAACTTAGAAAGGGACCACCACAATTTCCTGAGTTCAAATCACTCCAAAACAAACTTTTAGGAATTTCATTCCAAGATCTATCTAGACCCCAACTAATCAGAGGGACAGCATATTGTCAGGAATTTTCTCTCAAAGGTCTCCATTAGGCATCCAAAGCAAGAGAGATTGATGTAAAAAACATGTGCTAGAACACCGAGTCCCAGAGAAAGAAATCTTTTTTTCAAGATGTAAAATAAAAGAAAGAAAGGACCTGGCCAAGCACATTGTCGCCATATTTCCAGTTACATTCCCAGCTGTGTGTTAGACTATTACGCTTCTTCTTTAAAAATATTAATATTTATGCATTTTAAATTTTGGCCCTTTGTGAGACTATCATATTGAAACAAAAAGTAATGTTTGAGAAAATAAGCGTTCTACTCAAAACAGCTAAATGATGGAAAGTTGATTTTATCCCTAAATTCATGCTTAACCATTTTCATACGGCCTCAGCACAGCACTATAGTCATAAATGACAACAAGAAATATCCCAATACGGGAAAGGACTTATTCTTAAATAACTACCCTGATGTGCTAAGAGTCTTCAGACTCAGAAACCCCTGCAGCAAAGAGGGGAATTAAATGACCTGATGGTCAGCAAGCAAAAATATCCTTAAAAGTGAGAAAATTAGGTAAGCCCACTTAACAGTTGTAGGAGAAAGGCTCTGATGATTACCAGGTTGACACACAAAAAAAGATTCAGAATAGAAGGAGAATTCTTCGTGAAAAAAAAAAATAAGCATACCATCCATATCAAAAAACATAGGTTCAAACACTAAAAGAAGAGAAAAGGAGCAATAAGCCAAAAATAAGACTTTTTCCATAATTGAATTCCCACCTGAAAGCCAAACATAACAATATTTTGATTGTCCAACTCATACAAATATGCTTGTAGCCCAGTTCTATTAGAGATAAGTCTGTGACCGACTAAATGAACAGACACTATAACTCTACAATCCAAAGTAAATTACTTTATCACCATATCTGTTTCTCAAGATGCATTTTAGCCAACAGAAATAAAAGGTTAAAAACATTTTCGTTACAGATAAGAAAGCACATCTTAACTAAAGCACTGAAAAAATTTCCAACCCACTGACATTTTTATATTTATAGATCATGACAAAAGTCTCACCTGCTTTAACTATAATGTCATTCAATAAGCTTAAACATCTTGAATGTATCTTTAATGTGCCATTTTCTCTACAAAACCCCACTATATAAAAGCATACAGCCTTTCAGACAGAAGATAAGTACATAATAAATCAGCTTGGAATCATTTTTTTTCCCCAGCTCTTACTCACGGTGGCATCCTAAAAATTCATTTTACTTTATCTTTTCCAATTCCATGCTTTTTTTTCTTTCCTCCTCATGTTTCCTTCCTCCTCTTCAGTCAACCCCTTTGCATGGTTTTATTTTCTATGTGTCACTCCTTCACGCTAGGCCTTGATGTCAGAGAGAAGAAAGATGACAAGCAGTGTCAGGGGGAGCATCCACCGCCTGCCTTCAGGAGGAACACTCATGCTCTCCTGCACCGTCTGTGATTAGAAAGGAAGAGACTAAAAACCCCATTTGCATATGCTTTTATTCCCTTTCCACACCCTGCACGCTAATGTCTCTGGAAAGTCCCTTCTCAATTCCCTACTCGGGTCAGTGCTGGGGAAGAGGTGCAACCGGAATGAGAGTTTATGTTTCAATGTGATCCCTTTCATGTGAGACCAAATTTAGTCATTTGAGTTTCACAGAGAAAATGGGGGTCCAGGCAGGCCCTCTTCTTGCCAACTATAGGAGGTATACCATTCTTTGGGCTTGTATAATCCGAAGAGTTCTTATGGTCTTATTCTAGTTTGGTTGTGTTTTGTTTTGTTTTTTCCACATCGGAGGAAGCTCTGGTCAGGCGCTCGATACTCTGGCTTCCTCTCTGTACTCTCCGTGGTCTAATCTGGGGAAATCCTGAGAGCACTATCATCTTCCCGATAAGCCTCTTAGCTTTTCAAGTACACCCGGTTTAGTTTCGGTCAAAACCTCAATTTAACGTTACCCAAAAACTACGTGTGTCGGCACATTTTTTTTTTAAAGTTAGACTTTTTGATGGGGGTGAGGGTAGGAAAGGAATCATTTAAGAAGCCCTTGTCCATTACTAATAGTATGTAAAGTTTGAACCGGCTTGAATGAACCAATGTTCTAAAATACAGGATTATGGATCTAGAAAATGACCTTAGAGATCATCTAGCCCTCATTATATTGATGGCCCAGAAAAGTTAAATGACTTGCAAGGTCACACAGATAGCAAATGACAAAGGCTAAATTTGAACTTAAGACCTCTGACTTCAAATGCGTTGCTCTTTTTACTGTACCATGATTAGCCTCTACGAATCAACACTAGCCTAACAGGCAGAATTCCCAGGAAATCTTTCATCATCTATTCCTGGTGATCATTGTCAATCATGTATCCTTACAGATGTTGATCACAACTCTGTGTCCCTCTTTCCCAGACTGGAAAATTCCCAGATGCTTACTTCCTGGGAGGCCCTTTGATGTTTTTTCAGCTTCACAGTAAAACCAAATCTAACTGAAATGCTGTCTACTAATAATGTGCATATTATGTCCAATATCTTAAAATCTACCATTCAGACATCTGTACTTATTGTTGTTCAGTCATTTCAGTCATTTCTGACTCTTCATGACCCCATTTGGGATTTGCTTGGCAAAAACACTGGAGTGGATTACTATTTCCTTCTCCAGCTCATTTTATAGATGAGAAAACTGAGGCAAACAAGGATAAGTGACTTGCCCAGGGTCCCACAGGTAATAAGTATGTGAGGCCAGATTTGAACTCACAAAGATGAGTCTTCCTGACTCCAAGCCTGGCACTCTATCCATTGCACAATGTAGCTGCCCCTTGTACCTATTTAGGAATGGCCAAATGGGTCTTGTCTACACAAGTAATTGCAATTATCAATAGATACAGCCAATGTGTTCATTGTGCTTGAATACACTTGCTTCTTACAAGGCAATACTTAGGAAGGAAAGGAAGGATTAGCTAATCAGTAGTGATAGAGATGCAGAAGAAAAAACAACTAAAAGACCATCAATAAAACATTTTAAATATACAAATGAAAACAAAAAAGTTTAGAAGGGAACACCATTGCAAATTTGTTACTATCTTGCAAAAATTTGTGTGTACTTTTAAATATATTTAGTAGAAGTTCACAATTTCATTAATGATCCCCCCCTTTTTTTTCTTTCTATGTTGAAACACTTGTGTTTGTTGATGATTGTTAAGTTCATAACCTTTTTTAAAAAGGAAAAAAGAAAAAAGCCCTTTGGAGTCAGAAAGGCTAGATTCAAATTCTAGCTTCTGCTATTTACTACTTTTGTGACCCTGGGCAAATCACTTAAGCTCTTTGGGCCTCAAATCTCTCAACTCTAAAATAAGGTGGTTAGACTAGAATATCCTGTAAGATCCCTTCCAACTCTAAATTATATGATCCTGTGATCTATTAAAAAACAATTAGGACCATTCACCTGAATGTGAGCTAAGGAAAATAAGGAAATTCCTGCCTTAAGCAGAATTAGTCCCAAATATCTTCTGCCTTTCAAAGACTTCAAAGCAAAATTCTTCAAACTTTAGGTCTGATAAGCCCTTTCAAACAATTTTTTTTTAATTCTGCTTGGCTCAGGTGGTAGTAGTAGCTTGACAGCTAGCATTGCTGTAAGTTATTAGGGTTAAAACTTTTGTTTTGAATGATTCTAAATGGATTTCCAGAAGTTAAGGGAGGTTTCCAGTTGGGGCCTTCAGAGTAATATTTTTGGGGGAATATTAAGAATCAATATTCTGGGGCCAGCGAATGGAGCACTAGGCCTGAAATTGAGCTCAAACTTAAAAGTATATGTGTCAAAGCAATAATATAGCTCTTGATTGTTGGAAGTCTTTTTCTACCCTTTGTAAAGTACTCAAAAAGTTACTCTTACACATGCTACTGCTTCTTTGCTGAATTTCTTAGGCGGCTATGAACCTGTATCCAGTCTGTCCTTGGCTCCTATTTCAAATATTGCTGCCAACTGGTCTAAGGTCTCTGATTAGATGCTAATGAGAAGACAGAAAATCTTTTGGACCTCCAAAATTAGCAAGGACTTTCATGGATGGAGGGAGGGCAAGAAATGAAGACTAAAGCTCAAAGTGCTCTTCTCTTCTTCTCTATGTCTCATGGAGTCATTAGCTTCTACTTGACCTACTCTAATTTTAAAGATTTATTTTCTTCAGTGAGATTTTGTGCCTCTTTTTCCATTTAGCTAATTCTGATTTTTAGGAGTTATTTTCATCAGTGAAGTTTTGTACTACTTTTGCCATCTGGTCAATTCCATTTTTTAAGCAGTTCTTTTCTTTAGTGAGGTTTTATATCTTTTACCAAGCTGTTAATTTTCTTTTCGTGATTTCCTTGCATTGTTCTAATTTCTTTTCCCAACTTTTCCTCTACAATTCTGCTTTAAAAAAATGCTTTTTTTTAAAATCTCTTTTTTTAGTCCTTCCAGGAAGTCTTATTGGACTTGCATCCAATCTGCATTTTTCTTTGAGGCTTTCCTCATAGGTATTTTCACATTATTGTCTTATGAGTCTGTGTCTTGAGCTTTCCTATTACCATAGTAGCTTTTTGTGGTCAGGTTTTTTGTTTGTTGTTTACTCATTTTTCCTATTTCCTATTTCTTAATATTGAACTTTATATCAGAGTTGGTATTTTCTCACTTGGGGGGGGGGCTTTCACTGTCCCAAACTTCAGATTTTTGTTACCCTGCTGTTTTCATAGCTAGTTCTGAGGGGTCTTTAAGTTTTTGGTGTTTCCAAAGTGATGTGATTGGGGAAGAGACATGGTCACTTCACTCCCAGTCTGTTCTCTGGTCCTTACTCAGGTTCAGGCCCTACTACCTCAGAGATCATCTAGTCCATCCTCCCATTTTACAGATGAAAAAATGAGGTCCAAGGAGTTTATGTGACTTGCTCAAAGTCAGACAAGTAGTAAGAATCAGAGATGGGATTTGCAAGTGCTAGTGCTCCTCTCCACCCTAGAACTACAACTAGGAACTAAGGAATGGGCAATGGAGTTGCCAAACTGCCCTATCCTGTACCCAGTGCCAATGCAGAGGTCCCCTGTAATTTCCTTCTGACAGGCTGTCCAATCCCCTCACCATCTCTGGATAGTGAGAGCTCCTGAAATTGCTGCTGCTGCTATTGCCACCTATAAGGCAATACAGATATGGGCTTTGAACCATTCCCCACCCCAGTGACACAAACTTCTTCTGACCTCCTAAGTTGTCTTAATCTGGAAAAATATCCCACCCCAACATTTTGTTGGCTATGCCACTCCAGAATTCAATTTGATGTGTTATTTTAAAGTTGTTTGGAGGGGAATATTGAGGGAGGTCAGCAGAAATGCGCCTTCTACTCCACCATCCAGTTCCCATAATTCCTTCTCAGTGGGATACTCAAATCACCCCCAGTCCAAACTGGCTTGACATTTTATAAATGGTCCTCATGGGTATGACCAAGTTTCCTCCCATTCCAAAGATTTAAACATTCTTCCTGGACATTCACTTCCAGTTCATCCAATGGCTCATCAAAGATGCCTAAATTGATTAAGGTCTTTTCACACTTAGATGGAATACCTTGAATTGATTAGACTCAATCAAGAGGTCGATTTACTCAATAAACTCCATCTTTATACTTTGATAAGGATAAATATATAAAGGCCATAGGCATAGGCCTGAAAATCATACATTGAAGGAAGGACCAATACTAGAGAAGGATACCCAAAATGGAAATGGAGGCCTCCCACCCACCCAGAGGTAGACACACCTTGAAATCTTGTATGTCACAATACCAACAAACAGAGCCACTATAGTTCAGTAAAAAGGAGTCCCCTTAGAGGCCCAGCAGCCATTGAATTGGAATCTCTACAACAAGCAAGAAATGCAACAAACATGACATTATTTATTTCTGCACAAACAACTCCCAGCTAACCCCTCCCTAGAAATCACAGCAGCATATATTTATAGGACTCCAAGAGGAACAAAATACTAGAGCTGAAAGGGACCTCAGAGATTATCTAGTTCATCCTCCCATTTTACAGATGAAAAAATGAGGTCCAAGGAGTTTATGTGACTTGCTCAAAGTCACACAAGTAGTAAGAATCAGAGATGGGATTTGAAACCAAGACTTTGGACTCCAGGGCTAGTGTTTGTTCCCCAGCACCACCATGCTGCCTCCCACTAATAGGAATTCAAATAAAACCAGAACCTAATATTGTACCACAATGGTCCTCGTCATACATGGCACTAGGTCAATGGTAAACTTACACCCAAGTATCCTTCACACAACCCCAAAACTTTTCGTCGCTAAATAATTCAATGATCACCTCTCTGCAAATAACTCCCAAATCTACATCCCTGACCCTTGAGCTTTTGTACTGTATCTCCAGATACCTGCTGGATGGATATCTCCCCCTGGATGTCCCTTAGTCATCTCCAAGTCAACATCTCAAT